CAAAGAAGCTCGGTACGACCGGAGAACGAAACAGAAACAAGCTAGGACCATGGGGAAACCCGTCCCTTACGAAAACGCCATGATATTGCCCGGCCCGGCCATGCGGCCTAGCTCTGAGTGGAGCCACGTGTACAGGGGAGGCAGCCGATCCCCCAGCACAGAACAGGCACCCTACAGAAAGCTCACAACAGCCCTGCTATCCCCCCCCTTTGAACCGGTGGGGGTTATCCTGGTCCCCGCTGGGGTTACTTACTGCAACACTGCTGAACGAACCTATGCAGCCACAGAAGGCACTAAAGTCAGCAGCCACAGTCTCACCCACGCGACCCACGCGACCCTGGGGGAGCACGGTGAGTCCCACCAACTGCCTCACTGAGCAAGCAGACGTCTCTACGAGGCTTGACGAGATATTCGACAAGTTTTGGAGGAAACTGGCCCTGCGCCAGCGGCAGCAAGTGAAAGCAAAGCAGGATGACAACTCACCTCAAAGCCCACGAAGTACACACAAAATGGCTGCTGCGCCTCCCTCGCAGCCAACCTCACCGTCCAACTCCCTATGTCACACAGCGCACTGAAGCAGGGACCGCCCGGTCTTCTCCTGGGACCGCCCATATACCTACAAAAGGCACCCAGAGATCAGCACTTCCGAGGGCCCACGGCCCTAATGCACGCCGCGGGGGGACCCATCGACACAAGGGAATGACCATCATCTCAGCTTTGGCTGGGGCAGTGGAGTGGCCACAGATCGATCACAGCGGCAAGCCAAGAGCCACGTGGGGCACGACCCCGAAGCAGCGCCCACACAGACAGCAGCACTACCGTTACCTGCGGCACTAAACCACCCAGGCATTCCGCCTATCTCCATCGGAGTGGGACAAGGACTGCAGGCGGGCTCGGATACGTGGCACACAATTGCAAGCCAAGGACTCAGCCTGAGGCCAGAGGGAAACCCAATATAACTACTGGACATTTGCTGCCCTACTGAACCCCCACTTCTGGGGTTTCTGTTTCCCAGACATGGGAATCGGCTGACTGTAAGCAGATCACTGACCAGCAACGTCCCTTCTAAGCTGGAGACTTCACGATGCATGCTTATAATGCCTGTTTTTATGTGGTATTATTATTAT